GAATTCAGTCAGTATCGTTGGCATTAAGATAATGGGGAAATACCAAGAGTAATATCCTCCCTCTTAACATCGAGCAAACAGTTTCAATGGGAAGTCACATTTACGTTTTACGTTCCTTATCATTTTTATATCGTGTAGTCCCCAGATGATGTAAGAATTTTTTAAATTCACTATCTCTTTTATTGTGATATTTCATGCTCATTTGAGGTAAATACGAAATTTTAAAAGTAGTAATGCAAGAAGAATATGTCAAAAATAGGCACATGAGAAATGGAGTTTTCGGTTTCGTAAGGAAACAGGAAAATAATCTCGTATTTACTCCAGCCTGTTCGTGATTATCTTATGTTTATAATTTTACCCTAATCGCTACGGACAGGAACTGTTTTATTTCCAACAAATTTATATTAATTTCGCAAACAAATAATTGACGTTTTATTATCAAGAGAGAAACTTAAATAGTGATTGATTCAATTTACTATTCTACTTAAGCTTGTTCTGCATAAAATATACACGCTAATAAATACTTCACGAAATTAATACTAACCTAAAGTTGCAGATATTTCTTATCTGCAACAAAAAATTCATTAAAATTCATTTTCACTTCAACAAGTATACCTATAATAAATATCTTACGGAGCGACTGATATAGTTGTTTTCAATATGGGTGGGATCTTAATTTCCAAAAAACAAATTCAAAAAACTTGCAGAGTCCCGAATTCCAATTTCATTGAAAATCCGTGGCGATTTTTAAAACGGAAAACATCTCATAAATACCTACAGACGTACATCGATCTATCTTTTATAAATATCTACCGATATCGAACTCTTGAATAATTAAAGAAAATTGAAGAACAAATGGAATAAAATTCATCCTGACTATACTCTGCGAAAAAACTTAATTACAGTAACCTGTTGTTGACTTTAGCTTTATTTTGCATACTATATCTATAGATCAATCTCTATCTATAGAGCACTCCTATACTTGCCGCTAGTTTCACAATTTATGGACTACGTTAAATTTTTAATAAACCGTGAGATGATAGCTATTACAAAATTTACAAACGATCTTCTTTCATTAAGCGTTTCTACCAAGAAAAAAAACATATTTGAACGTTTGCGCAATATTTTCGAACAAAATCATTCTTACAGGAAATAATAAAGTAAGTAGACGTGATCGTTCAAATAGAAAGGATAACGCATCACAAGATGATAAGGAGGCATTCAATGACAAAACAATGGTAATGTATTATAATGATATTATTTCTGAAACAACATCTGAAATAGAAGACTATAATTAACGCATAGTAAATCTCTTAAGGCGCTCAGTACCGAAAGAACTCTGAATGAACAACGAAATATAGACATTCCATTTACTGAGAAATTAATGAGAAACAAGAAAACAACTCGAGAACGATCGTTAGAGTATCTTGTTCAAGATGAAGAAGGAAACAAGCAAACAAGAGAAGAAACTTCCACGGAAAATAATTCGTCAATAATCACACCTAATACTGAAAACATGCTTGTTAATTTTATCGAGCATGTTATTACTTCACGTGTTGATAAAAGTCCAGCCACTACATCGACTTCTTCGAAGGAAAAGTTTTTTGGACCAATGATTCCAATAGAGGTAAAGAGAATAAAATTTTCATTCGTATTAACCGAGTAAATGTTATTTATAGTTGTATTTAATCTTTAATCATATATTCTCAACAAAAAGGAATTTACTTTTATTTTACAATGCTTATAATCCTTACTTTCACATGTTAAAACATAATACACGATTGACACAGGAGCGAGGTAAACTTCAAGAAAGATCTTCGATTGGAGTAGTCGAAAACGTCGACGTCGACGTCGAAACACCAATACAGAAAACTGTTAATATATCTACGAGGATGATAGAAACTTTGGATAATAGCGAATTATCTGAAGAATTGGTAAATTATGGCAGTAAAAATATTATCGAGGAGAAAAGAACACTGATAGAGATAAACAGGAATAGCAAGTTGCTTGCCTCACCAGGCACGATACACAGAATAGTATTTGATGTAATGAATAGCTGTGTTTTGCCTGTCAGATACACATTCAGAGTAAACAGCACTCCTTTCAGACTGTATAACGTTCAACCAACTTCGTAAGTTATTATAAAACGTTTACTTAAGAATTAAATTTTAATCCTTGATAGCTATCATGAATGAAAATTCATGGCAATATATCTTTTCTTTTTCTCTCTCTCTCTCTCTCTGAATAGTAATTGCTTGAGCAACGACACTGTATACAAATGAAGAGTCTCATCACGACTCATTGTTTGTAACAAATTTTGCTGTTATTATTTTTCAGCATCATTTTACTATCTTTTAATATTTTATATAATAATGAAAAATGCAGCGTTAAGTGAGCTACAACTTCAATTCACAAAATCAATGAGATTAAATGTTTTCATTATTGTTATTATTCAATATTAGATGGAAAAGAGGCAAATTATTATTTCCAGTGATTATGAATAAATAAATATATATAATTAAAGCAAAATTTGCATAGAGTGAAATTTCAACTATCATAATCTTTAAAGATTCATTATATTTTATAAATTATATTTTCTCTTTTTATTGCTGTATGATAGCTGAAAATTTAAAGTTATGCCTTTTTGTTTTCGTTAATCTTTATAAAATGGCATATATTTGAAAAAAAAAAAACAAATAACTTTCACTTAAATAACTTCCACAAAATACAATTATAAAATATACAACGAGTGATTTTGTTTTCTTCTACTATTCCGACAATTAACATTCTATTTTATACGTATATAATCATCAATCACATGTTATTTATAAATATGATATGTTAATACAATAATTTCATTGATCTGCGAATTTCGACGTCTTATACAATCATTACAGAATTAGATTGTACAAGATGAGTAAGAAAACTTAAAGATTTAAAATTTATTAGAGAAAAATGTTATGTAATATTAACTACAGAGAAATAGCTTCAAGATTATTTATTTATTCATAGACAATAAAAAAAGTCTTGTTTATTAGACCTACATGAAAAAAATATGCTGTATAAAAAAAAGAATTTTAGAACAAAACGACAAACTATCTATAAAACTAGAATTTTCATAATTGGCAGATATTTAGGCTATAACAATTCAGTTGAATTCACAACAATTTGAAAGGTCATGTCAAAAGATATGAAACAAGCTATAAAGATTGTTCTTATTTTAACAGAATGATTGAAAATTATTTAAAATTTGAATAAATAGTTCTCTAATCTATATATGTAATTATACCACCTATTTATACTATGATATAAGCAAATTTATAATTTATTCTAGTGATTAATTTAATACCTTATTTCAGTGATCAAATTAATATATTATTATACAATATTATATAATCTATAAAAGTGATCCATGTTTACTGATATTTTTTTGATATTTAAACTTTTACATATATATATACATGGTAAAATTTTGATAAAATTTACAATATGGTAAAAATTTGTGATTTGTAATAAAAAGAAATTTAAATGTATTCCAAAATAAAATTTTGATACATGTTGTTTTATATCAATAGAGATAAAAATTTCTCATATTGCATCATCTGAATTATGGAAATTAGACGATTCAAATCATTCAAATCAGTTACAGTTAATATTGTAATATTATTTAGTAGAATCTAAAGTAGAATCATAGATGTGTGTGAAAATTGAAGACTAAAATGAATACAACGAATAAAGATTCTAATTGTTAATTGATTTCAATACTAATACTCTAACATTAGCACTGTTTCATTTTTCATTATGTAATATAACATATTTATTATTTATTACCTACTAATTGTAGCATTAATTACATTCTAGCACATGGGTATATCCTGGACAAATGTGCAATATAGAGATAGATTTAGTTATACCCAATAATGTTGCACCAGATACAGCTAATACTGTTACATTATCTATTTTGGGTACAGAAATAAAAGAAAAATCTGTATACTTATATGTGCAAGGATCACTTTCAAAGGTAATCATTGGAAAAAATAAAAAAAAATAATTGTGCAAATTATAGAAATTAATTTTCTAAATATAATTATATTTTTAGGATTTCTTGCATAAATTAATTATGAAAATAATATATTTCAAACAATTGTTGATTAAATATTTAAAAATTAAAATTTTACTTTGATGATTTATAAAGTAAATAACCTATTGAATATTTTAAGACGATGAATCAAATTTTTAACAAAAATCATAGAAATATCTATGCAAAATTATATTCTGTAATTAAGTCTTTAAATGACATTAATTTCTTTAATTCTCTTGATGACAAAATTCAAACATTTAATTATTTAATAAAATTTTGT